CTCTCCAGGTTCATCCTCATCATGCCAGGTGCAGGATGGACAGTCCTTAAGAATGGGACTGCTCTCATGTGTGGAGGGCAGGGGTGAGATCATCCCTGAAAGAGATCACAATACAGAAATGCAGTGATTATGCCTGAATATTCAAGAGGAGATGCCCAGAAGATGTGTTGTTCTACGTTTATGCTATGAAATTCAGAACAGCAGCTTTAACATGACCAGAAAATGAATTATTATTAATAATTTCTTTTTTATTGCTCTCTATTTTTATTTATTTTCCTTTTTAAAAATTTAAATATAGTTGACAAATGATATTATGTTAATTTCAAGGGTACTACATAGTGATTTCACATTTGCACACGTTATGAAATGATCACCACTATAAATGTAGTAACCATCTGTTTCCATACAAAGTCATTACAGTATTATTGACCATATTCCTTATGTTGTATATTATATTTCCCTGGCTTATTTATTTTATAACTGGAGGTTTGCACCTCTTAATCCCCATCGCTTATTTTGCCTCCCCACCACAATCCTCTCCTCTGGCAACCATGCATTTGTTCTCTGTATTTATGAGTCTGTTTTTGTTTTGTTTGTTTTGTGTTTTAGATTGAACATATAAGTGAGATCATATGGTATTTGTCTTTCTCCATCTTATTTCACTTAGCAGAATACCCTCTAGCATAATCGATGTTGTAACAAATGTCAAGATTTCACTAATATTCCATTGTATATATATACCACATCTTCTTTATCCACTCAACTATGGATGGGCACTTAGGTTGCCTCCATATCTTGGTTATTGTTAATAATACTGCAATGAACATAAGAGTGCAAATATCTTTTTCAATTGATGTTTTTGCTTTCTTCAGATAAATATCCAGGAGTGGAATTGCTGGATTTTATGCTAATTCTATTTTTAATTTAATTTTTGGAGAAATCTCCATACTGTTTTCCATAGTGGCTGCACCAATTTACAACCCCACCAACAGTGCACAAGAATTCCCGTTTCTCTATATCCTCGCCAACACTTATTATTTGTTGTCTTTTTTATAATAACCACTTGACAGACGTGAGGTGGTATCTCATTGTGGTTTTGATTTGCATTTCCCTGAAGATGAGTGCTGTTGAGCATCTTTTCATGTGCTTGTTGACAATCTGTATGTCTTTGGAAAAATGTCTATTCAGATCCTCTGCTCACTTTTTAATTGGGTTGTTTGGTTTTTTGACACTGAGTTGTGTGAGTTCTTTGTATATTTTGGATATTATCCCCTTATAGGATATATCATTTGCAAGTATCTTCTCACATTGAATAAATGGCCTTTTTCTTTTGTTGATAGTTTCCTTCACTGTGCAAAAGCTTTTTAGTTTGAAGCAATCTCATTTGTTTATTTTTGCTTCTGTTTCCCTTGCCTGAGCAAACATATCCAAAAAACATATCTGAAAAAATATTACTAATACCAATGTTAAAGAGCATACTCCCTATGTTTTCTTCTAGAAGTCTTATGGCTTTAGGTATTACACTGAAGACTTTAATGCATTTAGAATTTATTTCTGTGCATGGTGTGAGAGAGTAGTCCAGTTTGATTCTTTTGCATGAGCTGTCCAGTTTTCCCAACACCATTTATTGAAGAGGCTCTCTTTTCTCCATTGTATATTTTTGCCCCCTTTGTTGTAGATTAATTGCCCATATAAGTGTGGGTTCATTTCTGGGCTCTCTATTCTGCTCCATTGACCTAAGTATCTATTGTTGTGCTGGTACTGTACTTTTTAAAAATTACTGTAGCTTTGTAGTATAGTTTGAAATCAATGCATGTGATACCTCCAGCTTTGTTCTTCCTTCTCAAGATTGATTTGGTCACTTGGGGTCTTTTGTGTTTCCATACAAATTTTAGAATGATTTGTTCTAGTTTTGTGAAAAATGCCATTGGTATTTTGATAGGGATTGCGTAGAATTTGTAGATTGCCTTGGGTAGTATGGTCATTTTAACAATAATAATTCTTCCAATCCATGAACACAGGATATCTTTCCATCTGTTTGTGACATCTTCAATTTCTTTCATCAGCATCATAGTTTTCAAAGTACACATATTTTACCTCCTTAGTTAGATTTATTCCTAGGTATTTTATTCTTTTTGTTCTGATTGTAAATGAATTTGTTTTCTTAATTTTCTTCTGATAATTTGTTGTTATTGTATAGAAATGCAAAAGACTTCTGTGTATTAATTTTGTATCTTGCAACTTTACTGAATTCATTGATGAGTTCTTGTAGTTTTTTTGGTGGTGTCTTCAGAATTTTCTGTATATAGTATTGTGTCATCTGCAAAGAGTGACAGTTTTACTTCTTCCTTTCCAATTTGGATTCCTTTTATTTCTTTTTTCTTGACTGATTGTTGTAGCTGTAACTTCCAATCCTCTTGAATAAAAGTGGCAAGAGGGGGCATTCTTGTCTTGTTCCTGATCTTAGAGGAAATACTTTCAGCTTTTCACCATTGAATATGATGTTAGCTGTGGGCTTGTCATATGTGGCCTTTATTATGCTCAGGTATGTTCCTCCTGTACCCACTTTCTTGAGCATTTTTATCGTAAAAGATGTTGAATTTTGTTAAAAGCTATTTCTGCATCTATTGAGATGATCATATGATTTTATTCTTCACTTTGTTAATGTTCACATTAACAATGTATGACATTGATTTACAGATGTTTTAAGGTCCTTGCACCCCTGGAATAAATTCCCCTTGATCACAATATATGATCCTTTTAATGTATTGCTGAATTCAGTTTGCTAATATTTTGTGGAGGATTTTTGCATCTATGTTCATCGGTGATACTGGCTTGTAATTTTCTTTTTTGTGATATCTATATCTGATTTTTGTATCAGGGTGATGGTGGCCTCACAGAATGAGTTTGGAAGTGTTTCTTCCCCTGTTCTTTCTCTTTTCCTTCTGGGAGCCAATAGTGCAAATGTTATTATGCTTGATGTTGTTCTAGAGGTCTCTTAAGCTGTCCTCATTTTTTTAAAATTCTTTTTTTTTTTCTGTTCAGCTTGGGTGATTTCCACTACCCTATCTTCCAGATCACTGATTTGTTCCTTTGTATCATCTGATCTACTGTTGATTCTTTTAGTGTGTTTTTATTTCAGTTATTGCCTTCTTCAGTTCTCTTTGGTTCTTTTTTATATTTTCTAACTCTTTGTTGAAATTCTCACTGTGTTCATCCTGAGTTTGGTAAGCAGCTTTATAATCATTATCTTGAACCTTTTATGGGGTAGATTGCTTATCTCCACTTCTTTCAGCTCTTTTTCTGAGGTTATGTCTTATTCCTTCATTTGAAACATACTCCTCTGTCTCCTCATTTTCCCCAGTTTTCTGTGTTCGTTTCTGTGTGTTAGGTAGGTTGGTTATATTTCCCGATCTTGGAGAAGTGGAGAACCCAGTTTTCTGTGTTTGTTTCTGTGTGTTAGGTAGGTTGGTTATATTTCCCGATCTTGGAGAAGTGGCCTTTTGTAGGAGATGTCCTGTGGGCCCCAGCAGCATGCTCCCGTTTGGTCACCAGAGCTATATGCTCCGGGGTGCCCCATACAGGCTGCATGTGCTCTTCTGCTCTGAGGCTGGCTCCTGTGGGCACACTGGTAGGTGGAGCTGGCCCCTGGCCCGGGTGGCTGCAAGGCTGTGCCTTGTGTGGTGGCTGTGAGCGCACCAGAGGACAGGGGGGAGCTTCTTCCTGGGCTGGCTGTGCAGCCCATGGGGCTGTGGAGCTGCTGCAGCCCCACTGGTGGGCAGGTTTTGGTCCCTGCGTGGCTGGGAAGTGGGCTTGGGCCTGGTATCAGCTCACTGGAGGGCAGGGCTGGGTCCCAAGCAGCTGTCTGTGGGGCCTGGGGAAAATGCAGGGGTGGTGCCAGCCCACTGGTGGGCAGGGCTGGGTCCCTGGCACTGATATGCTAGAGGTCGGACTCCTCAATGGCACTTTCCGATGCCAGGGTAACTGAGGTAGACCCAGCTCCCCAGAATGGCTGCTGCCAGCGCCTCTCTGTCCCAGGGGGAGCCCCATTTGCCTGCTGCCTCTCTGGGAGCCTCTCCAAGGTCAGCAAATGAGTCTGACCCAGGCTACTTTCAAGCTACTGCCTCTGCACTGGGTCTTGGAATGTATAAGATTTTGTGTGCTCCCTTTAAGAGCAGGGCTTGTGTTTCCCACAATTCTGAACATAAGCCCCACTGGTTTTTCAAAACCAGACATGCTGGGGGTGTGTCATCCCACTGCAGGACCCCTGCATTGGAGCCTGGTGTTCCCTTTGCTCCTTGGGGAGGACCTCCATGATTGGGATAGTCTTCCCATTTGTGCGTTGCTGACCCCGGGGGGTGGGTATTGACTTCTGCGTCTCTGCCTTTCCTACTCATCTCATTGTGATTCCTTCTTTATGTCCTTGTGTCCTTTGCTATTCTGATAGATAGTTGCTCTGTAAGAAGGTATAATTTTGGTGTGTCTGTGGGAGGAGGTGTCACCCAAGGTTCTCCCAGTGCCCAGGGCTGAATGGTGTCTGGATGGCTGTGAGTCTCCAACATGGGGATGGGGCTCGACTATACCCCTGCCCCTCAGTTTTGCTAAGCTCTAAGGTAGATCTTAGTCTCCACTGAGAAATCTGTCCTGTGAGCCTCTGTTCCATGGGTAGGTTGGAGGGAGGGGACAGGGAGTTGAAGAGCCCTGGGGGAGGGCAGAAGGCTAAGGCATCCGTCCAAGGCGTGGCCACCCCGCTTGGGCATCAGGACGGGCCTCAGAATGGCCGCTGCTTTGGCCATGCTTCCTCGGAAGCCGGCCATGACTTTCCTGACGCCAGGGGAGCTGACGATTCCCCCAGGAGGACCTGAGCTGACGTTTGCCCCTCTGGGATCTGAGCCCCATTGAAGGAAAGAGCCCAGGCAGAAGGGGGAGGGAGGGGCAGCAGGCAGTGACGGGCGGGGTGGGAAGGTGGAGGACCTCTCTTGCTTGGTCTCTGCAATGAGGAAGTTCTCTGCAGCTCTGTTTCCTTTCCCTCGCTGAGAGCCTGAAACAGGAAGTCGGTCAGTGAGCTGGTGGCAGCAGCTGGGGCGACTGAGAGGAGACCGACGGCGGGTCACAGCGCAGGGGGCCTCAGCTCCCCTTGGCGGCGCGTAGGTCCTGTGAGGTGGCCTCCGGCCTGGCCTGGGGAGGCCCACGCCCGCCATGGTCCCCTGCTGGAACCATGGCAACATCACCCGCTCCAAAGCTGAGGAGCTGCTCTCCAGGACGGGCAAGGATGGGAGCTTCCTCGTGCGTGCTAGCGAGTCCATCTCCCGGGCGTACGCGCTCTGTGTGCTGTGAGTACCGTGCCCACCCACCCTTGTCCCTTTGCCCCGGCTGGCCACTCCTGCCCAGGCATGGAGATGATGGAGGTGCAACTGGGAAGAGGGGGAGCTGGCTCGCGGCTTAGCCAGGGACCCGGTTCTGAGATGGGGTGTCTTTATCCAGGTGGGATGGAGCAACCTGGCTTGCATGCACCATGGGTCGGT